TGCTAAGCATGCCCCACGTCTAATTCAGAGAGCATCCAGCATCCAGCAGCACTGCAGAACAGCTACCATTATCACACTGTTCACAGATGAGAAAACCGAGGCACAGGCCTCCTGAGGTCAAGAGAACATAGACTAGTTCAGGCAGCCTAGTTCCACTGTCTGGGAACTGCTGTCAGTACCCCGTACTGCCATGAAGCACCACGGAACAGGTGCGAGCCATTAGCAGAGCCTCTGGGAGAAGCCACTGCCTCACAAGAGGAAGGACTTCCCCTTCCGGCAGGAAGCCAGAATATCAGACATAAGGGAATCTCGGGGCTGGGGTGTGGCTCAGTGACATTGAGCAAGCCTAAAATAAGAACCCCTGGGTTCCAGGAGCAATGGGAGGGAGAATGGGGGAAAAGGAGACAAGAAAAAAGGGAGACGGGAAGTGGGGAGTGAGACAGGAAGGAAAGGAGAGGGGGAGGGAGGGAAGAGGTATAGAGGAAGGGAGAGAGAGAGAGAGAGAACATCAACTAGAGGAAAACAGACAGGAAGGCAGGGAGGGAGAAGAAAATGAGAGTATCAGAATTCTCCAGACGCATTGTTTAAACGGGGCCTGCGCTGCTTACCCCATAGATTCCCAATTTTGTAGTTCTGGGATGGGACCCAAGAATTAGTACTTCCAGCATCTTGGAAACTGCTCAGTGTAGACTGAGAACTTAACATGCAAGAGGCTAACAGTTCCATTCCCAGCACCAATTAAAAAGGGGGAGACACTTCCAATTCCTAAGGGCTGTCGATGCTGTGGGAAATGCTGGCCACCTGACTTTGCCTCACAGAGTAAACATCACTATCAGAGTTGGGCACTGGCCCCCGGGTTCCTGAAACCAAATTGGGTGCTTGATTTCGGCACATGAGATTAGACCTTAGCTCCAAGTTTCAAAGCTGTACCCAAAGCTTCTAGAATGGTCCAGTCCCCATGGAAGCACGCAGAGCAGCTCAGAAATATTTTTGGAAAAGAACCCATGGCAGACAAGGAAAATTCGACAGCGTTTGGACACAGTCTGTGGAAAGCAACGAGAAACATCTGACTTAAATTGCTTTGCAAATTACACCATTTTAAAAATTAGAGGGTGGGGGTACCCTGGGCCAAAATGTATTTTTAAAGATTTATGGCCTCCAGAGTGTTAGCTCAGCAGCCGAAGAGGCTGTGAAAGAGCCACCCAGTGTGGCTTCTGCTCAGGCTCTTGGGAAGCTCTGGTCTGATCTTAAAGCCAGCCTTTCCCAGCCTGACTGACCCACCAGGCCCTGCTCTGCCCACTCAGAAAAGATGTGTATGCATGTGTATGCTCTCTCTCTCTCTCACATGTGTATGCTCTCTCTCTCTCTCTGTCTCTCTCCCTTTTCCTCTCTCTCTATGTCTCTCTCTCCCTTTCCCTCTCTCTCTGTCTCCCTCATTCTCTTTCTGTATCTCTCTCTATCTTTGTCTCTCTCTCCCTCTGTGAGTGTGTGTGTGTGTGTGTGTGTGTGTGTGTGTGTGCGCTACACAAGCACCAGGGAGATAACAAGTCAGCTTCATGGGTCCTTCCCAGGCTAGCTGGCATCAAGCTCCAAGGGGTCCGCCTGTCCCCACCTCTCGCTACGGGATTATAAGCATGCACCACGACAGCAAGATTTGCCACGTGGAATGGAACCCAGATTTTCAGGCTTGTGCATTTTACCAACTGAGTCACTTCCCCAGCCCTGATGAGGTGCTCCGGCAGTCACTTTAGGAACCCCCAGTCCTCAGCCTTGTGGACTCACAATCAAATGAGGGAGACCACTGGATCCAAAGATGTTTGATGCCAGCCTTGGGGCAGAGGAGAACACTGAGGCACGGGGACACACAGGAGGCCTTTCCAAAGCTGACATTATAGTAGGGACAAATTACAGCTCCAGTCAGACCCAAACAATCTAAAGCAATTATCGAGGGAGCCCAGCACTCTGCAACTCAGCACACGGGGCCTTCAGTGATTAGTGTGGGGCTCCCTGGATACACAGCACGCACCTGCGGGCCCCTCACCTGAAACCTAGCATGCACCTGCAGCTGCACACCCACACCTGTGGCCCAGCCCCCACCTGCAGCCCCCACGCACTATTAGTTAGACACCTGCAGCTCAGCATGCCCCTGCAGTGAGTACACACACTTCCAGCCTGGCATATCCCTGCAGCCCCACATATACGCCTGTAGTCCAGCACACACCAGTGGCCCCGCATTTACCCGCAGCTCATCATGTACCTAAAGCCTTAGCACACACACACCACACATCTCCAGCTCGGCACGGGCCTACAGAATTACCTCTACCAGCAGCACCTTCCATCTCCCAGGCCTGTGTGCCCCATGTATTCACACGGCTGAGAACACACGCATATGGCTGCGAGCGGAAAGCAGAACTCCTCAGAGGCTAGGCAACTGTGGCGGCTCCCAGCAGCCACCTTCTGGGACCCCGCTCCTTATTGATCACACATTTCTCCCTATACCGTTTATGTTTGAAGATACCCTTACCACCCTCCTGCTGGGCTCTGCACTGAAACTTGGTCAGGCCCAGAGATGAACCCAGACATCTTTAGCCTAAGCAAGCCCATGCCAGCTACCTACGCCTGACTCCTGCTTCTTAACTTTCACCTTCCCCATCAATAAAGCACACTCCTGGGGAGTTAGCCTATATCTGATGCTCTGGGTGCAGGGGCTCTCAACCTTCCTAATGCCACAACCCTTTAATACAGTTCCTCAGGTTGTGGTGACCCCCGACCATAAAATTATTTTCATTGCTACTTCATGATTGTAAGTTTGCTACTGTTGTGAATCACAATGTAACTGAGGTGTAGGATATCTGATATGTGAAAACGTTGTTCAACACCTCCCCACAAAGGGTCACGACCCACAGGTTCGGAACTGCTGGTCTGGCGCATCCTGGCTCTTGGGGTCTCAGCACAAGAGGTGTCTTCCTTGGTACCTCTGCTCTGTCACCGAGAATTTGAGCAAGAGTGGGGTCTTGAACTATTTCTGCAGTTTTAATTACCTTTATTTACTTAGGGGGACTTATTCAGGGGACACATGCATGCACTGTGGAGGTCAGATGGCACCACAAAAGCTGGTTCTTACCTTCCGCCATGTGGGTCACAGTGATGGAATTCAAGTTGGCAGAGTTGCCAGCCAACACCGTTACCCAAAGAGGCACCTTGCCAACCTGGTCTTAAAACCTTAAGGACTGCAGCTAACATGAAACCCGAGTCCCAGCAATGTCCTTAGGGTTGCGCCATTGGGCTTCCTTGCCCTTCCCCTTCAGCCCATCTTCAACAGAGACAGATCCCACTGGGTCCCCTTTCCCACATAGGCATAGCCACTCTTCCCACACTCCGAGACACCCTTCCGATAAACTACTCGGGAAGCAGGGACAGCACAGCTCAACAGAAACCAAGGGTCCCCATGGCTCCCTAGTGCACACACCTGGCCTATGCCTGCTGTACTGAACCACATTCGCCAAGCTCCCCTAGGAAGGGCACTGAGAGGGCATGGAGCAGTCATAGCATGGGCAGGTGCTCCTCTGCAGTGGCTGTGCTCCGACTTTGCCCCCTTCCCCAGTGGAAAACCCCTCAAGCTGGCCTCAACAGTGACAACTGGGTCCAATGCTACAGAAGCCCTCTCCCCTCAATTATGTCCTAATTACTGTCTAATTACTGCCTAAGTCTGCTCTCTGGTGGTGTGACAGGGCAGAGAATGGCTGTGCTTGTTCAAGAGAGAGAGGCCAAGTCAGGGCGGATCCTTCAGGGCAGGTGGGAGATGCCGGAAGCTAGCTCCTGGGAACTCTCCACCTCAAAGAATGGAGCAGGGAGAAAACCTGAGAGATCATCACTTGTTGGCCCAGGACTTCGCTCCAGTGCTCTGTGTCGCCATTCATCCCTCCATACTGTGTGAGCTATTGGGCTGTAACTCCTCCTTCCTGTTCTAGGAGTTAGACCAGGCCCACAAACTCAAACCCTCTCCCCAGAGGTGCTTAAGGCCGACCTCACATCTCCCACTTATGAGTTGATAATTATTTTCAACTTAAAACCATGGGGAGAAAAGAAATTAAATGTAGTGGCAACAACCTAAGAGGTCTTAAACTCTCTCTCTCTCTCTCTCTCTCTCTCTCTCTCTTTTAAGAGAACTAACTCAAGGGTGGTTCCATTTCATAAATTCTGGACCGTGTAGCTACACCCACAGCATAGTCCAGGGACCATAGATCCATAGATGGAGCATCAGCTCGGGGGGGGGGGGTACAAATTTAGCCCTGTCCATGAACAAGGCACCTCGGGTGTTCTGCCTGGCCAAGAAAGCACTAGGGCACAGCTAAATGTGCTTGAATTAAAAGGAACAGAAAATAAATCTGTTTCTTCACTCTGAGAGCGAATAGTTGTGTGGCCTCCAGATGGGCAGCCCAGTGACAAGGGGAGGTCTCACCTTCCCGCCAAACTCCCCAACCGGGCTGCTGGCACGGACCGGGGAAAGCAGAGAACATCTCTCTTAGGGACAGTGAAATGAGAGACTGTGGCTCGTGGAATCCCTTCTGTTGTAATTAAGTTGGCCAGAAATCCACCTAAGATAGTAAATTCCATACCTGACCCTCTAATTACAGCCAGCAGGCATTGGCAGACAATTACTTTCTGAAATAGTCCTCAGCGGGTAAGAGGCAAGAAGCTCTCAGAGTACGGCTCCCGGTGCCAGCTGAACACGCCCCAGGGTGGCCAGGCAGCTGCCCGGTAGATTCTCCTCCCTTCCTCCACTCCCGGCTCAGGCCTCAGCCACAGAGCCTGGGATAACCGGCTCTCCAAGCTGCAAGTGACCTTCTTGGGGACTGGGTTCCTGGGGCGGGGGCACTGCCCTCCATAAACCCAGCATGCCTCCCAGATGACAGGGGCCAGCGCACTCATTAAATCCTAATGACCTCGTGAAAAACACCCCTGCTGCTCTCCAAGCGTGCAAAACAGAAAGTGTATACCTCCTTGGGCTGCTACAGCTGCGGCTGCGGCTACCGCCAGAGGACAAGCCTTTTTCCCTGGGTCGGGGAAGCTGCTGTCCTCCAAGAGGCCACTCTTGGCTTCTTTCTTCTCCACTGCAGGGGCTGGGGCGGACATCTCCATCTCAGCAGCTCATACTCTTGGGTGGCAAACCCTGGAGGAAATGACAAAGACATTCAGCCACAACACTGCACCCGAACCCAGCAGGAAAATACCAACTCAGATTCCCACCACAGGCCTACAGCAACGAAGTTTACACTCAGTCTCTTAACACGAGGAGGAAAGGCTTAGATAATTTTGACGTATTCATCCCGAGAATCACTGGTCTGCTTTCTGAATGGGTACATGGACAACAGCAGAGTATTTGAGGTTTTGTGTTTGTTTTTAACCTAGATTTTTTTAAAAATCCCAAACAAGTTCTTAGTGATGAGAGCTTCCAGGAGCAAAGAATCACTTGACCTGGAGACGTGAAACCAGAAAAGAGAGCCTGAAGCCTGAGAAAAGACCAAATTACAACAGCCTTCAAGAAAGGCCCTGGACTGCCTGATTTCTGCCCCTCCTTTACTGTTTGATTCATTTGTTCAGTCAATACTCACATCACTAATTGTCATCATTTGTTGTTGAATATGTTTTCATTCTCTCTTTCCTTCTCTGCCTCCCCTGTCCCCTCAATAAAACAGTGGTTTTTAACCTGTGGGTCATGACCCATTTGGGGGTTGAATGACCCTTTCACAGGGTCACCTAAAGACCATTTGAAAACACATATTAACGTTACAATTCATACAGTAGCAAAATTACTTATGAAGTAGCAATGGAAATAATTTAATGGTTGAAGGTTGCTACATCATGAGGAGCTGTATTGAAGGGTCATAGCATTAAGAACATTGAGAACCATTGCTGTAAGGGGTCACGTAGCCCAGGCTGGCCTAAAGCTCACTATGTATCCAAGGATGACCTTGCATCCCTGTTCCTGCTACCTCTGACTCCTCAGTGGTGGGATTACAAGTATATAGCATTAGGCCTGGCTTAAGCTATCTTTATAATCCATTGCTTTGGAGCCAGTAGTATGGCTTAGCAGGTTACAGGTGTCTTACTTCACCGGCCTGACAACCTTGAGTTTGTTCGAAGAAATCTGTGAGAGATTTGTCAGGAGAGAACTGACTCTATGGAAGTCCTGGCAGCATTTGCATGACACTGCATGCATGCAAGCCACATGCACACAGTTTAAAAAAAAAAATCTGTTACTATGGAGTTCTGCTATCAGAATGGTCACCACCTCTGTTTCCTACACTGTCCCTTGCTTTGCCACAAGCTCCCCCATATTAGGCCACCTGAACTGCTCTTACGTCTCCATTCACACCCCTTTATTAGGGCTGTGATTGCCATTGCTCCACCTGAGAACAAGCAGCCAGCATCCCCTCTCCAAGAATACACTTCTCCTTTGCCTGCAAAATCCCATCAAGATGGCATCCATCTTCCCTGCTCTGGACAGTCCCCGGTCAGAGCCCTACAGTCAGATCATGAGTCTACCTGACTCTCCACATCACACGCTTGTTGTCTCCTAGGCTATCTGAATCCCACCAGATTACGGTCACGATCAACCAGCCAAGCTGGGGGTGGTGGTGCACGCCTTTGATCCCAGGCCTCAGGAGACAGAAGCAGGCTGGTCTCCGAGAATCTGACCCAGCAGTGGCAGGTGAGCCCTTCTGTCCTGTCCTTCTGTCCCATCCTGACAAGTGGCAGCAGCTGGTCACCCCAACTTCACTGAGGAATAAATCTTCGGGGTTCCATGGGGAGATGAGCTGCCTGAGGCCACTTACCACAGAGGCAGCAGAGCAGGCCTCCAGTCTGGTCTCCTGCTGACTGGCCACCTAGAAGCCCTGGGGATACAGCCACTCCAAGAGGGCATGAGCACAGAAGTTTCAGGGCTTTCAGCACTCGGGCTGTGGCCACAGTTTCTGAGTAGGAGGCACAGCTGCACACAGGAGCACCTAGGATTCAGGGAACCCACCATCACACACACACTCCTTCTGTGTGTGTGGGGTCGGGTAATGGAGAGAACTGCCCGGGCGGGACTCACCAGGCCCCTGCCTCACCCTACAAATCAATGCTATCCTGCCCTTACCTCTGCCACAGGAGAGGGAGGCGGGAGACAGAGCCAGTCATCTTCATAATTCACAGGAAATAGTGGGATTAGCTCAATTTCTGGGTAAACACCAGGCACCCTAGGTCCCAAGCAGATACTTTCACTCCCCAGGGCTGGCCAGTCACCGAGGCTCTGGGTGTCCTTGCCATCATCCACCCCACCCCCACTCTCACCACCTGGGAACGGCAGGGAGGGGTCTGTGCATGGTTTCAGGGACGGACTTGGGGGCTGATTCCCACAGGCTACACAAAAGCTTCTTCACAGGAGGGTCTGAGAGGCACAGGACACCCCAGGGAGGAGAGTCAACCCCCACTTTCTTTTACAGCTCTGGAAATGCCTGCACATTCCACAGGAATCTGCTACGCCAGGGGAAGCCTGGGCCTGTGCTGATGGAGCCCCTTTCCATTAGAGAGCACTCCCAGGTCTCAGGCCCTCTGGGGCTTTCCTGGGCTTTCCATGAGATCGCTCATCTAGGCATTTAACTGGAGAACCCACAGAACAGGCAAAGAAAACACCGTGCGTGTGTTTGTGTGTATTCACATGTGTTGAGGGGTGCATGTAGAGGCCATATGTCACCATCGGTGTCTTCCTCAGTCCCTCTCTATGGTTTGATGTTGATGATGGTTTTGAGACAGGATCTCTTACTGAATGTGGAGCCAACAGATTTTGATAAACTGGGGGCACCGGGGACGGGGGAGTGAGACCCAGAATTCCCTGTGTGGTTTCGGATTGAAGGGGTGTATCGCTGAGCCTGGCTCTTTATATGATGCTGGGAATCCAAACCGAGGATTTGCATGGCAAACAGTGTACCAACTAAGCCATGTCCTCAGCTCTCCGTGAGCTCGGGACTTAGCAGAACATGCCTGTACACCCCAGGCATGGATCCAAAGCCTGGAAGTAACGTGGCCAGCCTGACACATGCAAAGATCCTGTCTCAGAAAAACAAAAGCAACAACAGAGCTCTTCAAGGGGTCTGTCCTGTAAGCATGCTGGAGACTGAGAGTGAGGTGTCTGTCCATCCACTGTTGTCAGGCGCCAAGTCATGTCTAAGCTACCCTTGAAATAAGACTAAGGACTAAACATTTCATTAGGGCCAGAAAAAATATATATGTCAGTAGTAAAGGCTTTTCCTTGAAGCCTGAGGACCTGACTTTGATACCCAGGACCCACATGGCTGAAGAAGAGAAGAAACTCCTTCAAGGACATGGTGTCACCCCTAGAAACGATGGGGCAATAGATCACAGTATTGTATTCCATGTCATCGGATACCAGCTCTGCTCACCTTGGCTTCCTTCTTGGGGAGTCATTAGCCCTGCCCACATACAGACACACACTTCCAACCCTGCACACGGTGTGCATTGAGAAAGCCTGGAAGTGTTGCGGTGCCTCTGGCCTGGCAGCTGCTGACCAGATGTAAGTGGTATCTCTCCATCCCATCATTTACAGCAAGCTGGTGAAAGACAGTCGCACCAGGTGCTACGATGAACACAGCTCAGAACTGGTTGAGGAGCCTTCCAGGAGTGGCATGAAAACACCAATAATTGAGCCAGAAGAAGGAACTCACCCTGGAGCCCGAAATCCTGGAGACCTCCCACCACCTGGCTGCTTTGAACTCCTTTGGTGAGTGAGTCACACACATGAACACTTCCTGGCGTGAAGTCAGCCTCCAGGAGGGAGGCAGGACCTCACCTCCTGGCCAACCCAGCCACCGCAGGCCCTGGCGCACACTTCTGATCTCAGCCAGGCAGCATGCATGCCCAGACTCACACACACGGGCACATGGGAACACATGCACACACAATCACACAGCGTACACGACAGATGCTGCACTATGTGGGTGCAAAGATGTCTGTGTGCTGTGTGCAAACATACGGCCATGCATACATGCGTGTTCATTCACTCATAGTTCCATTTTGCACACAGCACAAGTGCATAAGCCCACCACATATATGTTGTCACAAGGAGTTACATGTGCTTATAACACACACATATATGTGCAAAGACACACTCACAGATCCAGATAGGCACATATATACACAAAAGCTAATAAACACCACCCTGCAGACTTTTTGATTGCAGACTTTTTTTTTTTTCTACATGTATTTAGGGTATGTGCACACGCACGCACATTTGTGGAAGTCTGAAGACAAGCTATAGGGTTGGATCTCTCTGACCCTCGTGAGCTCCAGGAACTGAACTCAGATCATCAGCTTTGGTAGCAAGAGCCTTTATCCAGTGAACAGTCTCATTGGCCAGACACCTTTTCTGTTTCTTTCTTTCTTTAAGACTCAGTAGCTCAGATTGGCTTGGAACTCAACTATCCAACCAAGGATGATCTTGAACTTCTGGTCCTCCTTCCTTCACCTCCAAGCGCACTAGCACGCCTCCTTTGTGCAGTGCTGGGGATCAAATCTAGGGCTTCGTGGATGCGCACCCCACCCTACTTGTTTTTAATAGCAAAGGATGTAAGCCATGAACACAGCTAGAGAAGAGGGGGGCTGTCAGTGCAGCACGGTGACCGGGTTAAAAAAATCACACAATGCCAAGGCTGGCAATGGCAGGGCACACAGCGGAAGACAGACACCCCAGAGGCTAAAGTACCCCTGTGATAACCCTGGCTAGCACTTCTACAGCCCACCCGGCCGGCCTGGCTCATGGACCCCTCAACTCAAGCTTTACCCAGAAAGCTGCAGGTTATAGAAGGACACACTGCACTGCAGCAGGGAGCAGCCGCACCAAACAAAAATCAGCCCCAAGGCAATGCACCTGCTCCTTTCTAGCCCCTTGAATTTCTTTCTCCAAGTACAAAAGCTCCTGGATTTGCAAGGCCCCTGGGCTAGTGAGCTGGTGTTAGGAAAAGTGGTAATTAACCCTAATTCACTGACTAGCTGGGCAGGGATTGGGCCCCCAAGGGCCCAGTGAGAAGCATAGGCCTCCTCCAAGAGATGAGATGAGTATCAGGAAGGCTTCCTTCTTC